TGAAGACCACTTCACTTACTGATAATCACCGGAAAAATTAATTTCCGAATCCACTTCTTGACAGGTCACCTGTTTTCCATTGAAAAAAATATCAGCTAACACTGATATCGCTACACTAATAATATATATATATATATATATATATATATATATATATATATATGAATAAAAATTACAATAGGAAAACTGGTAATTGCTGACGCGTTTCGTCCAATGTGGACTTTATCAAAGCAAAATACGAAAATGAAATTAAATGAATAATTTAACTAATAAAAACAAAAACAGAATGTACCTAGCAACTGGAATGTAGAGAAACGTTATTTTCATATTTTTAACTGAAAATAACGTCAGTAATTGTCACGTGTGGAGAATATTGTCATTGTATGTGTGTTGATGTATTCAACCATTTTCTTTTGATTTTATGAATCTGTTGTTTATATTTGTTTGTGAGAGCAGTAATTTTGTTAAGAAAGGTGAAATTAGGGAAGAAACCTGGGCATAGATTAATATTTGGGTAATTTTCTATGGCGGCACTCTCCAGAATTTTCATTCTGAGTGAGTTATTTACTTTTTTTATGAGTATAGCATTTTTAAAATCAAAATTATGGTTGAATTTATTTCTATGTATGACTAGTGCATTAGCTAAGCTGTTTTTTGTGAGGTATCTTTTGTGCTCATAAGTGCGTTATTCAAACTTCTAATTGTTTCTCCAATAAATAAATTGTCAAAACTGTTCCTCCCAATATATACGCCCAGGCTTCTGAAGGCAGCCGTGTCATCTAACCTTTGCTATTGTTATCGTCGCGTTGCTGAGATATGATCCGTGTCACCACAAACTATTGTAATACGTATTTTTGAATTGTATCATGGATTGTACATTTTATAGTTTCTACCGTAAATTTTAAACGGAATAAATCAGAAACGAAGGATTTGCGGACATGTGTTTACATGTACTTTTGTCCTCGATTTGTTATGAGAAAGCCACCACTAATGTTTGTAAAATATTTTTAATACACCCTTTATATATTTTAAACGTTTTAATTTGAATGTCCTATAACGTTGAGTTATAATGAAACGAATAAATTTGATTAAATATGTTTTAATTTATCATAAAATATATTTTAGCACATAATTGTAAATATTGATATTTATAATATTCTTATGTGTATGCACTTGCAATGATTCGCAGAAAATTTAGTTTTACTCAATTTTCGTGGGAAATTCAATTGCAGAGACGACATTAACCCAGTTTCAATATGGTTGTTTACAGCAACAAATTAGATTGGAATTAATTTGGTGCAGGCCATGAATCACTTCAAACTCTCCGTAGAAATAGATTTTTATATTTCATCTGTGCGTACTTATTCTCTGTACTTTTTCTGTGTTTCAACTTTCTCTTTCCGAATCTACGTTTAAATATCCATTTAGTTTCTAATATCCTTAAAACCTCTTCATTACTCACATGACCCCTCTATGGTATTCACATCCTTGATAAGTCCTGTGAGTGCAAAATATTTTCTAACATCTTTCCTCATTATCCGTCCTATAAGTTTTCAATCCCCCCCATTCCGAGACTAAGTATAAATATCCATTTCTTCTAATTTCCATAAAACTTCATCGTTCCTCAAATGATAGATCCATGGTATTCCCATCATGCTTCTGTAGAACTATATTTCAGCTGCCTCAATTTGCTACATCTGTGTGAAGTTTGTACAGCCGACACTCCCAAAGGCACGCATAAACACATAGAGATATGGAGTCTGGATAGACGGCGGAAGGGTCCCTGGGGACACAGGAAAATAATTGTGACCAATGCTATATTTTCACATTGGCGAATATTCTCTTTTACCATTGATCATTTGTCATATTCGAAGATGGGATATTTATGGTGGATAATGACACACCAATGCGATCTACTGGCAGCACATTGCTCTGGTGCCTTTGGGCTGATCTAGCACAAGTGAAGGTTAATTTTGACAGCTTCTATCTACATCCTTTTCTTCGGTCTTGTTGTTTTCTGTCACATAATAGTTCTTTGTAACTCAGACCTCTGGGAATACGATGTGGCTCTATATGAATGATGGAAATTTGCCTTCAGATCGGTGATGTAATGAGGAATTTTCAGACATTTCTTGTGCAAGAAGAATTTATCGTAGGAAAATCGTTTCACTGGCGCATTCCCAATCTTGACCTCGAAATCTTTATCCAGTGACACGAGCTATCGTGACGACCAGATACTTCCAGACTGCAGGTAGATGACCAGGACTTCACCTCCATGCTTTTCATGCACTCCAAAGAGGTCCATCAAAGAAGATCTAATCTGCCCAATCCGCTAGTTCTCGATGCTCACATGCAATATGTGTGACAGACCCTAAATTATCGCGAGTTCTAACCCATCAATTATCTTCATATTGTTTGACCAACCAGTTGTACCGGCTTACTGTCGTGTGGCAGCTGCTAAGCTGCTGCGTGCAAAATGGTGTTTGGAGCCACATACACACACGCATATATAAGCCAGTATATAAGTCACAAGTAATAGCGCGTTCGTTTCCGAGATAATCTTTCGAATCTATAGACAATAAAATATATAGTGACATTTCCTTCTAAAATGTATACTTAGTTGTGCCTTCTCAATTTCTTATAGAACTATCAAATCGCAGAATTACTTCATTATACTTTGTACTATATGTAGATGTAAGTTTCTAAAACTATTCTATTTTGAGTCTACCTAAATGTTGATTTATGCACCCTAATACCGAATATAAATTTGTAATAAACACCATTAACTTCGAGAATATAAACATTCCAAAATAATAATATTAAACTACAAGTTATCCTTACTTGATAAATTTCCATTTGTTATGGTTGAATAAAATCAGAAATTGTAAAGAAATTTGATTGCAATATGAATTTCAGTCTATCCCACATTAAACTTCAAAGTATAGAACGTTGTCGATAGTAATGTCAACCCATGACCTGAAGTGAAAAGGCAAATAAAAGATGTAGAGATCGCTCATGATAACCCCGTTTTAAGCAAGAATTATTGGATTATTTTTCGCTTCATCACATATGATTCTTTGTCAAACCCAGTGTCCTTTAAATATATATTTATAATCATGATTTACTTACATTTTCTGTTTAATATTTTTACGATTGATTTAATTTTTATCATAATTATATGAAACGATAGTGTTTAGCTCTAAATAACGCTGTCTCTATTGAAAGGCGGGAACATCTAGTATTGATGATATCGTAAACAGCTTAAGATATGTCTACGCCAACGTAACCCTTTTCATTAGCGTGTCTTCTATTTTTTCGACGCAGGGTTATTTTTTCAGCAATGTTCTTTGATCATCTCTCATGCTGTTACGATTCTTGTCTGAAAGCTACGTGCCGAATTCTTAAATGACAAGCGGCCTCTTAATAAAGGCAGCTTCCGATTTCTCTCTCTTTTGACAACTGATTTTCTCAATGCCAGATCAACATCCAAGTTAGAATTCCCACACTTTCAAAAAAAAAAAAGATTCCGTTTTGTCTTTTATTCATTGTATCTTACACGTATTACTTTTTCTTAATCTGATCAGGAAAAAAATAATCAAAGAGAAACCGCTCAGTTCAACTAGCAATTTATTATTTCGTCTATTAAACGGAACGTGCTCTTTAAGAAATCGATATACTTTTTTTTTTAAACTTGTACACGTGTTTCATTTGCGTAAGAATGCCTTCACTGATTTCAGTTAAGAGATCTGTTTTTGTTATACTTGCCAAATCTCTTAAAATTAATGTTTTTTATAAGCTACACGTAGATTTTAATTTTTCTCTCTATACGCCATAAAAGCGTTTAGATGCAAAGTTAATTGCTATGAAACTCTCTCTATGCTTTGCAAAGAATACTATAAACGTAAATTCTCGTTGGATTTGTTTCCCAGAAATATATTATTATATATTATGTTTTTTATTCGTTCAATTTTCAGATAAATATTAGATATTTTCCCCATAAATATATTTTCATTTCCTTCTCAGTGGTGCAACGTACCTGAGTTAATTTGACCAGTAAAATATCTATGCATACAGTTTTTCTATCAATTTAAATTCTCTTTGGAATATGCAATTTATTTATGAAGAATACACATTATGAAAGTGCAAATCACTTTTAATATTTTTTTAGTTATTTGCCAAAGACATTACGAATTGAAAGCTATCGCGATTTAAATAATATTGCGATAAATGGCTACCATCTTAACTCTTGTGAAACTTAAAGATGTTTCGTAACAGATTTTATAGCCAATCGTCATTACTACTAAACTTACACAAAATTACAAAAATACAAGATGCCAAATTTCATAGCCTTAATTGTGGAGCATGAAAATAAAGTTTAAAGCTATAAGCTGAATATAGGGTAGCATTTTAAAATACAAGACTACAGCTTTGGCAGAAAATATCAATCTTGATATCATTAATGCAATGAGCATTGGTAAAATCTGCGTTATAGTTATGACGTAATAGTCTAATATTTTCTCGATTAATTAAAACAAAATAGACGAATCTTCTCTGTTACGAAGAAAATAGTTAATACTCTTACGTGTACTAGAAAGTGCCTGGTAATATTTATGTAAACTTTCCGACCTCTTTCTCATTCTTTTTAAAACCAACTCATTTAGTCGCAAGTCACAAAAGGAACAGCAGTCTATTGTTAAAAGAGTTGGTGTTGGTTCATTACACTTTCAATGTCTTTACCCCGATATACGAAAGTACCTTGAATTTGATTGATCTTTTACGTCTTATCAACCTTTTGCAAGTTATTTAAAGCCAGAAAATATTTTGTGGATTGTGAGAATTTTTTTTTAGATAATAATGGTTTAATGATAGGTACATAGGTCATGCCTTTCCAAAAAGTATTTGCGTGTAAGTGAAAATAACGAACCCTATTGAAATTCGAACTCGGCTTTCTGAATAACAATTCCGAGCCATTATCGATTACATCACCCGCACATTCAAACTTACAGCAACTGGCATTCCCAAGTCACTCATCTAAATACTAACCAGTCTCGACGTTGCTTAACTTCCGTGATCGTACGTCAACCAGTGATTCAACGTAATATGGCCGTAAGCCTAAAATCTCTTGAACACTTGATTCGTTGTCAGAACAGAACAATTAGGTCAATTATATTTATCTTGATATATCTGCTCACTTGGTCCGAGCTTATATCATTTGATACTAACATGGATCACATGACAGTCTATGAGCGTTATTTTTAAAACTTTTGTTTTCATTAAAATCTTATTCTTGTCGAAAAATAGACTATTTATATATTTCTGTATTGCAATTTTGTTAAAGAATGGCAAAGTTGTAAGTTTTACTTCCACTGAATCACTAGAAACGAGTCAAAAGAATTATGACAGGGTACATTAAATTCTATGAAAACGGGTATAATAACATTTCATTTGTTGCTTTTAACACAACGTGTCGACCGTTGTACCCACCGGGCATTATCAAGTTTATATTGATTCGTGTAACCTACAAGGAATTCTGAACTGAACTCTTTGTTTAATCTATGGAAGTGTTGTAGAGTAATTTTCACGTCGTTTGCGCTGTCATCTTGTTATGGAGTGATTTCACAGTGGAGGCTTGTATTTCATTAAGTCGGTCCTAAATTGGGTTCGACGTACAAAACGTTAGGAACTTGCAATAATAATTAATGATGCATCAATCTAGTTGTGGGGCTCCTACTTTAATGTCCGACATCGACTGACTCACACAACTCACTGAGCTCCCCTGGCGACTACTACTCCTACTACTACTTATCTGTAGGAAAGTCTATTTACAATAAAATAGGTACATTCCGGTATAACAGGAAGTACATTGTTTTCATGTAGTTCTTATTTTTAGTACTGCTTAGTTATTGCTCACCTTATTTCCACTGCACTCAGTTACACGTCCAGACCCACAATTATTATGTTATCAAATTTATGAAGCAACGCTTTTATCCACTAAGCTATTGTTGACTAACTTTAAATGGCGAACTTTGAAGCTTAAACTTAAACAGGTTGATGATTGGTGCTGCTACTCCTGCTTGTCATGCTTGATAACTGCTGCTGCAGACTTTCTGTCATTTGTCTTCCTTTTGCATCATCGGATTCCATATTGTATTTTATTTCTATCCTAGAAATACTGAGGGAGTCCTATACACTAGCGCAGACAGTTATTCTTTCACAATTCTAATTCTTAAGTGCTGTTACCTGTCCGGTCTTTTCGCTTTATTCCACAAAGAATGGTGATCACCTTTCCCTTTATACATGATAAGCCATACCTGATTTCATTGTTTAATCACTCATTACGGTTTTGTCTGTTCCCTTTAGGTTACCGAGAATAATATTCACTCGAGGAAAGCCGGATTGCACTAAGATCGAAACATTGGGATAAAAACAATAAATAATGGGACAGTGGTAAGAATATAATTAATGATAACTCCTAATCCCAGAAATTCAGACAGAGATATTTGACTATTGTTAAAGATCTCATTCTAGAGAATTATGTGTGAGAGATTAGTTCAGATGCTCGTTTTAGTAATCATATTTTAATGCAATCATCCCGGTGAAGTATTTAAAATTATATCTTTTAAAAAAAGTTATTAGTGTAATGTGATCTCAGTAGTCTCAGTTAAAATTCGAGGATTTTTTGTCGATTCCATATATTTTATCAATATCCATTATGTTAGTCCCAGGAATATATACCTTAATTATTTCTTAAAATAATGGAACATTATATACCTCATGGATTTATTAATTCGCGTAACGAATATTTGATACATAACATCAAGTCCAGAGTAAAATTTGTTACATCAGTTTTCATTAAGAACTGTTATAAATAAATTGATTATTAATTTTCCTGATATCTTATCAGTACTTTTTTTCATAATCTTGCCCACCTTTTTAAATGCTACATTTATTATAAATATATATTCCTTAAACGATTAGTGTATATCAGACTAAAAAGTTGATCAAAACGAATTTATTTTTATTTGAAAATAGCTCAGATACGTAAAACTAATCGTTCATGTATAATGACAATTCATATTAATTGAATGTATGCAAATATATCAGCTTCTATATTTCAGATATAGTAGATATCTATTACTTAGAGTTGTTTAGTACACAGTCAAATCTATCATCGGTCTGGCAATGTCTGATATGGCTGGCCGGCAGAGGAGTTGGATAAATACTAGTTCAAACCTCAGAGAAACACTCCCAATATCTCTCGTTCAAGGTGGGGTGGGACTGCGTTAATTGTCCGACGCCTGAAGTAAGTACCGAGTGGCTTGAGAATTGTTGGTACTGCCGATAATACAACATTAAACCGTTCTTGTGACACATTACGTTTCGAGTGGGCGTACGTTTATTAAATACACAACATACAACCAAATTTTCCACTCGTAATGTATAAGGCTGTCTTACAAAAATAGGATTTAATATTCAAGGACTTGAAGGGCCGGGAAGTAGTATAAATGTAAAATAAGCTAACATATCTTCAAGTGAATATATGAAATACGATTCCTCTCAAATAATTAATAATATTGGGGCATGTCTACTTTTAATATATGGTTGCCACAATATATTTCCTCGGCATTCATTCAACTTAATAAATCTCCGCGCATTCGATACGAATTCTTATATCTGTTTTAACTCTGTCTCTTCAATGTTAGGAAACATCATCGAACATTATTGTTGATTCGAAGCACATAAGAGCTCTTTCTGTGGGCGAGTGGTTAGAAGGTTACCTTTCTGAGCATGAGATCCGCAGGCAGGAGTACCACTAGCACGCAAGGGGTTACATAGAGTGTAGAGGCGTGATAGAGGAAATAATGAAGACAAGGACGGAGAATAAATCAAGGCATCTGTTGATGTCGATTGATATTGCATTTGAATATTTGTAGATTATAGCTATCAGGGAAGCAAGTAAAAGGAAAGGAGTTCCACAGACGGAAAGTGCGAGACATGAAGGTATTAGAGTAGAGAATACTTCTACATTAAACCATTTCGACAGTGAAAGTGTAGTACTGACATACCAACATAGTAGCACGTTTAAATTCATGCCGTTTAGGAACCAGCGAAAATAGCTAGTCGGAGCTGTTACCGTGAAAGTATTTATAGAAAAGACAGAGGGAAGCCACGGCACGTCTGCGAGTGAGTGACTGTTAACACGATGCCAGATCAGGGCCAATAACTTTGCGTATCCGTCTCTGGATTTTGTCGAGGACGTAAGACGAACACCGGGAGATCTAGACCATATATGGCAGCAGTATTCCATGCAAGGACGAATTGTAGATTTATTGATTTGAGAGATAGACTCGGGCAAGAAAAACACGACACAGAAGCAACTTGCTTTGCGGTAGATGAAGCTAATGATTGAATGTATTGGTTCCACCACAGTTAAGCGGACAGTGTTACACCAAGCAGTCGCAGAGAGGCGGTCTCGTAGAGTTGAACATCAGACATTCTAATGGGAGTCAGGGAGTGTTCTCTGTGATGGGTAAAAGAGAACAGTTTTGTTTTTTGAGTCATTTCTTGCCCCAATTAACAGCAGATTGGAGGTCCTTCTCATTATATTCGTTTAATTCCAGAGGAGGTAATGACCGCCATCTTTCCCTACATACATGATCGTAGTATTTAACTGAACTTTAATAATTTCGAATAGTATAATGTTTTTTTTTTGTTACGAGAACCTTTGTGATATGTACCTATCATGTTTCTACATGGTCCGTGTGTTATCGATTGTACATATTCTAGTATGGCAATTCCTGCTGCTGCTGCTGTTGCTCTACTACTACTACTACTACTACTACTACTACTACTATCTTTATTATTGTTATAACTATTATTATTAATATTATATATTTTGGCCATCATGGTTCTCTACAATTTCCTTTGTTCCTCTTGACTTCAATCTGCCCTGTGACTATCAAATTTTCCAAGCCCGTTTTCCTCTATAGAAAGTTCAACAATCTCTTTCTGATATGAAATATATGTGTCTGTTTTATTTGCATCTTCTCTAAATTTCGTTTTTGCCCACGTGTTCAGTCCCTGGTATTTTCAACATCCTCCTGTAGAACCACATTTCTTTTGTGCAATTCACCAGATATATTTAATAAAATATATACTGAATAAAATAACGAATAATCTGGATAACAAGAATATCTAAATAGCAGAACCGGGAGTTGGCGGTAGAGTAAAACGGAAAGGAACTACAAATAAAAGAAAGTTGTAGGGAATTATGATTCTGCACGTCTTGAAGAGACAAAACGCATGAAATAATATTAATTTCCCATGTATAAATGGTTTTATTACATTTCTAATTCTATGATTAGCAATAGTAGTAGAAGTAGTAGCCCTAGTTATAGTAGTAATAATATCAGAACTAGGAGTAATACTTATAATCGTCCCATAACAGCTTGATAGAAATGGCGAGTGATCGCGTGACAGCAAATTTAACATAAATCTCCTGTACTCAGTGTTCAAGCCGGCGTAAACACAGCATTGATCCAAAACGTCTCAATGTTGTCTTTGGTTTTAAATTATTGCATTTACTTTTGTGATCTCTGGCCGCTCATATGCAAGTATGCCGCTAGCATTGTTGCTCATTTGTGCGTGTTCGACACTCACATAGCCAACCTGCTGTTTAAACTGCAACTATGCTGAGTGGACCTTAGTTTTCTTTCTGAACATCGCTCAAACGCTCGGTCACGGTGACTTGTGACTTCCTGCTAGGAGAACTATCGACGGTCCAATTTCACTCAACCCGTGGCACTTTCCAAAAGTCTCCATCTTATGTAGACTCTAAGGAAGTCCTAATTCGAGACTGTGTGTATATATATATATATATATATATATATATATATATATATATATATATATATATATATATATTATTGCGACTAACCGCGTTCCTGGATTTACTAACAGTATTACCCATTGTATTATTGTGTAAATACATTTAATTTCTTATCTTTAATTCCTGAGTTTGTCATTCATTGCAGTACGAATTTTATTTCGGAATCAACAACAGAAAGAAAGAAAGAAAGAAAGAAAGAAAGAAAGAAAGAAAGAAAGAAA